ATTTTGGGGGCGACCTGGACACCGCCGGGTACCCTATCTAGTCAGACAAATTGTGCTAACAGAAGAGCGCTTGCGCTTAGATGTAACTTTATGGTCCGTGCGTCACTGGCCATGTTAAAGGTGGAGTCCGGAGAGGCGGCGGCAGCCAGCCTCCAGACTATATTGATCGCTTTCCAGACTATATTGATCGCTTTCCAGACTATATTGATCGCTTTCCAGACTATATTGATCGCTTTCCAGACGATATGGATTTGTTCATCATCACAAGGTGAAAGTTTTTCCGTGGGCGATAATTTAATACATGTGCGTATTGTCTTCAATTGGTAGACTGTCTCTCGCAGGATTCAGATTTGTTTTACATAAATGAGAAGCTTCTGAATTTGGACATCCTTTTATTTTCAGACATGGGGTTTGGTGTTCTAAATTTTCAGCCACATTATTGAGGGTTCTGCTTCTGAATTTTTGTTAGTGTCAGAGAACGCAATAAGACGACAGCCGGTGTAGGAGTTGATGTGACGACATGTAATGAATTTTATAACTTGCTTATCAAGATTGTAACTTGCTTAGCTAAATGGATTGTGGGGTTCAGTCTCTGAGCCCATTATGTGCCTCTGTAACTCTGTCCACTACCACCCACAAGATGGGTATGGGGTGCATAATAAATGAACTAAACTAACTAAACGGTATATGTGGTGTGACTATTTTTAAGTTCGTATATTAAGCACCAATTGCCCACCTGTGGGTGGTGGTGGAAAGGTTACAGAGGTGCGTAGTGAGTTCAGGAAGGTGTTGTGGCTATTGTAAGAGAAACCCGTCTTCTCGTAAAAAACGTGACTTTTTAGGCGTTTTCGTAACCAATACGTAACAAAATGCAACCTTTTAATATTCATGTTTTCAACGCATCGGACTCGGTAGGTTTAGGGAGACTTGTTTTCGTTCGTATGTTTGTGGTTAGGTTGAAAAGTTGGATTTTTCTTTTATTGAGTGGCAAATGAAAAGAATGTGCTGGTTTGGGAGTGGTCCTGTCAATAGATACCTTGGGTACATATGCTGGTTAGCATTGTAAATGTGTGGGGCCACGACTGTGATAGAAAATAATAATAATAATTTCCTTGCCGGTAATGCGGCTTTACAACGCACTGTACAGTGTATGAAAAGTTTGAAACTCAAAGTACTTTTATCTTTAATCGCATTTCGTTAACTTGAAAATATTGAAGAGTTTGTTATTGCACATAGGGATCAGAAAACATCAGGAAGCCACAAGTAACGCGTCAAGTTCCTAGTACGGAATAAATACTTAAGATTTAATAAATGTTTAAGGCCATCGAAGATTATCAAACATTGACTTAAAGAAAATTACTTTTGTATCGTGCATTCAGGCATTAGTCAAAATACCAGTTTTAAAATGATAGGCCATCACGTCAACTCTTTAAGTGTTCTTTAATAGTGATAAACGTATGGGGCGGGTTCCAAAGTGATCTAACTCGAGGTAATGGCATGCAAACGTTTTACAATGTCTTCAAATCCGCCTTACATGTTGTTTCATCAAAAGCCTTCTATAAAACTAGTTTGGATCGTATGGTCTGCTGTTTGAATTCATTTTATCCTTTCCGATTAGCACTAATTATTTTATTCCATTTTGATTTTGGGTCACATGTTGTAAGTACTGTACACTAACGATCTTAATTCCACCCAAAATGGTTATTAGTGGGGATCTCTGTGAATAAGGTACAAGGGTTGTAGACGGGGACATAGAGCTAGGCCTCACTAATTAGTACTCACCTGATTGACGGTTGAGAGGCGGGACCAAAGAGCCAGAGCTCAACCTCCGCAACCACAACTAGGCGAGTACCTACAAGGCGAGTACTGCGCGAAAGTGGGTGGGTAATGACCGTAGAGTTTTGTATGGTGGCAGTCGTCCCGTGCTCAAATAATCACGATGACAGACAACTGCCAAAGATGAAGTTGAACTGAATCAAGGTGCCTCCGTCTCTGTCGTTATGATCATATTTGATCCAAACATTCTGGTCTGATAAACAAGAAATTAAGACTCGCAGACTTAAATGCACATAGTCTAAATGTTATTTGTTTACATCTGATGTTGGTCTGTGTGTTTGGGCAGCACAAAACATCCACCAGACAGTGCGATAGTAATTGTCAGGACCAGATTGGGTTATAATGTCATATTTGATCCAAACTAGGCTTCGTACGAGCACGAAGTATTGACCAAGATTTATAGAAACTGTAAACTACTTAAGGTAATGCCTTGCTTTTAAGAGCGAATGTTATCTTGCAATCATATATTTAATATTGCTTGAACAAATTGCATATTTTAAATGTTCTGGCTCAAGTTTACCTATGACCTAATGTCCGGTATCATGGGTAAACCCCAAGGCGTCCAGACATGGGGGAAGGAAGTCCCTGAAACTCTTGGGAAAGGGCCATTTGATCACTGGAATATTTTAGTTTAACTTTACAATTTGACCTTCAAAATGGCATATATTAGTCGGGTACATTTTCTCTTTAAAGGGTTAAATATTAATAAAACGTGTGACTACGCGGGTGAGTGTCGGGGACTTCCCTCTACCTGGTCCCAGGTTACGCGAGTGTAGCAGCAACTTGCTATGAATAATTTTAACATTCTGCCCATGTTTGAGCTGCCAAAGCTCTGAGATGCTTACCTAACTGCTTTGGGTATTCCGCATATCCCGTCACCCCATTAATTCCGCGAGAGGCTTGGCAAGCATGACCCCCATAATGCTTCTACACTTCTTTACATATTCTAGTGCTTTGGAACATGAATTTAGTCACTATGCGAGACATTCGGCATAGTTACCGACTTGGGAAGGAACAAGGTCCATTCCACCACTATGTAAATTTTTTACGTTAGCCTAGCGTCTCTTGGTAAACAATCACAAATTCCAGTGAAAGTAACTTTAACGCAACACACTAAAATAAGCCAGCAGGCACGTTTTGCATACCTTAACAGCTTTTCCGCTGCACTGTGAACTTACCATTCAAAACAATTTGTCGGTATCTAGAAGGGTTTCGAAAGAAGCTTTACCTACTGCGAGCAGTCTTGGTGACACGGCGTCATGCACTAGGCTACTGTTCTCTCTGCAGACCATTTTCGATCCATGTAGATTGCTATTCGCGTCCTGGTTGTGTAATGGTGATAATGAAGAATAAATCTGACCTAATTAACCGGGAGTGTTTGACGTCGTGACAAGCATGGGGGGGTGGGTGAAGAAGAGATTAAGTGGTGTTGCTAGACAGTGCCAGCCAACTGTCCTCACTCGACAAGGCTGCCTGTTGTTAGCCTGCGTGATCTCACGTCCATGCTTCTCGAAGCTCTAATCTATAAGTTATGCCCGGTCAAGTGCCAGCTGACGAGGTGTTGCCTAGCTTGCTCAGGTCTGTAAAAAGTACCTCCAAGGTCAGACGGGTGAGCGCCTCCCTTCTCTCGGTCCCTTTCCCTTTCCACAAAACACCATTATTTAACTTGGCACAACACATGGTTTTATTATTATTCTGTGAACTGGTTGTACGAGGTGATGACAGTCGTATCTTTATCCATAATGGCTTGTTGATTTTTACACCCCCTTCTCTCCTAACCTTCCCTTCCCCATCTCCCTTCTCTCCCCCGACCCTCCCCACCCTTCTCCTTGAGTGGCGAATTAAACAATAAAAAAAAAGCTGGGGGTTGTGGGGAAGATATTTCATTCGGCACAGCAGGGCCTTAGTAACAGATATCAGTGGTTATTACGGGGAGGGAAGGTGGGTAACGCAGGTGGAGAGACGTAACTATCCTGGCCTATCAGTATGTGTTCTTGGACCCATTTTACCTAGGTGGATGGGTGTGATTAGTAAATAATCACCGTTGCATCACAGCGAGATTGGCACCAAATAAACTATTTCTGACGTATGAGTTAAGTTTATAACTCTGGTAACTTTAGTGACATATGGATGATTAATAATAATGATACAGAATGACAGTCTTAAGTTTCGCAGAAATGTGCTTAAAAGAGCTGCAGGCTTGTTGATCCTGCAGGCGTAATCACACGGAGGGTAGCGAATAATAGAGATGATCACGACATACAAAATACATGGTGACCCAGACGTAACATAAGCACACAAGACTGAGCCCTGTTGTATGAGTAGTAAAGTAACTGAACGAGTTGTGAAGGCAGGGAGTATATGCAAACATCAATAATGGGTTCAAATCAGAGTACAGTGTGATGGAACTGAATAAATCTCACAGTATGCCATGTGATTACCACTGGAATGTTAATTATAGAATATGATTAATAATTGTGTACAGTATGGGTTTGTGAGCCCCTTGAGTGACCTTATATTGACGAGGGTGAAAATAGCCTAAACTACTCTATCCTTTTGAGATGTACTTTATTTTTCTCGATAAACTTACTTGAACTCTCTCTCCCAGTCGAGCTAGGGTTAAGTGGCGAGACCCGAGAGCTGAAGCCCATCCCTTGCAACTAGATAGCGATTAATTTTCTTAAAGATATTCTAATTTTAAACGAGCTGTAATAGATCAGAGGTAAACATTGTTTAGACAATAATATATAATTACAATATAAACAGTATATTAAAATTTGTCTATTTTAAAAACTATACATTACAAGAGGCTGGTAAAAGTAACATGTATTTAGTTATTTGGGATTAGAACTTTTGAGCGGATAGGCTAGATGAATCCGGCCAAGAAAGAGTAATAGTTAAATGAACGAGAAATGTTGTATTAAATGCATTTAGCCCACTCATTAGGTTATCACATGGCGATAATAAACTTGCAGGACAGTCAAATCCTCCCCCAGTGTATCTAGCACATGTCTGGTGTGTGAAGTGACATGCAGATAAGGTGCACCTGTACGTATATGCCTTACGCACAAACGTACGCGCATCCGTGCTTGTGGTGGAGGCTGGGCGTTGGGAGGGAGGGAGCGAGGGAGTGTTGGGGGCTGTATATACTGGCCTCGCCCCGCCTCGCCTCACACAGTTCTTGCTAGTGCTCCTGAGAGGTAGTGTCTCTGTGCCTTAACTCGCTACTCTCATTCCTGGGTTCGTGTATCCACTTGCCCTCTTGGATTTGAGAACTTTTAGCATTATTAAGTGAATACCTAAATCCGAAAAAGAGAATTTCTAAGGATAAAGCCTGGAATACACTTAAACGAAGGGCTAGCTTGAGTGGAAAACTCCATTGACGAGGAGAAAGGGAGGTTGGGGTGCATTTAAATGCCTAGCCAACCTAAGCGCCAAGTGGCTCTCCAAACTAACACAATGCTGTACAACTCTGTTGATAACTACTACCCCGCTGGTACTGACGATAACAGGTAAGGATAACGCTAACATTAGTTATAATTGGTAAATGTTTGAACCAAATAACTCTTAGTAAAGATTTTGATTGGATGTACAAGTATACATAGCAGTCTGTCATGCCTTTTATAACTTAATATAGTTAATTTTATTCAAGAATTTAAAATATTACCAACTATATGTTGGATGTAGGCCTTTACTCAAAATTTAACGGGAGAAAAGCGTTTTTGAGATAGGCTGGCCATATGGGTATTAGCCTATAATTAAAAGGGTTGTAACGTCTAAATATCTAAATGCTCTTTTTTTTGTTTCTGTTCACGATACTGTACGTGAGGTTATTTCATAGGGCAGTGTATTAGCCACGACCTACACTACTGGAGAGGCAAACTTGGGAGGTTGGGAAGATTGTCGAGATGCTAGTGTATGTTGTAGTCAGTTTCCTCTCATTCCTTGATCAAATAAATACAAAATATTGCAAATGATGGTATGTTGCGATCAGCCGATGAGGACGGGTTGCAACATCAGCTGTTAAAACACGAAGGTAACGAGAAAATAAGTCTTTAACTATGACAGGTGCACCATTATCAGAAGTTACCTGGTTGATACCTGGTTGAAGTGTCAACAATAGCCATTGACTTGGTCGTTGGTATACCCATCTCCCTTGGTCAGTCCGATCAATGTAAGTAACTGGATGGGTGACCACGTGGCCATAATTCTCTTTGTCTACTTGGGTTTATCTGGGTTGTTTTGTGTGCGCGGTCTGTACCAGGTTTCTTATGACCACCTGCTCATTCTGCTGATCAATCAGCCAGCCTATTGCTGGCTGATCCTGCACAGCCTGTTGGATACTTAATGTTGGTAGTTTTCTTTCATCAATATTTATATTTGTTGGCAGAAGGTAGTGACTTTTACCCGCTGATGTTGCAACTCGTCCTCTCGACTAATACATCTCATTTTGCACGTAAAGGCCTGCAATGTACAAAATAGAAATCGCCATGAAAGTAGCGGTTCGCAAATATCCACGTAATATACGCATGGGTAGGTTAGGCTAGGTGAGTTGCTTAGGTTCGTACGTTTGTTTAGGTTAGCATGTTGCCACAACGTACAAAATATTGTACAAACCAAGTGGACGGGCTGGATGTTGACATCTTGAGTTATGCTTGTGGTTCTCTAGCATATTTCGGTTGTAACACCTATTTTAGTTCAGGGTAGGGCAAAGGTATGCAGGTAAGAACCTGCCAAGCGTTTAGTATGCTCAAGTGTACCCGTCACCTACTTCCAGGACATACAACCAGAGTACTTTTAATTTGCTTTGCTAATTCTGAGAAAGCAGTACAAGGTATGAGTATTTTTATTCTAACCAGAGAGGAGAGACTAACCTGCCTTGAGAGGAGACGTGACATAACAGTAGTGTTACCGGAAGTCTCATCAGTGGCATCCTTGTGTTGAAGGTTATTATAAAACAACTTGCCATTTTGCAGTCGGAAGTTATGTTGTTTCAATGGTGTTAACCAAGATGAATTTAAATTGTCCCGTGCTCTTTGTAAGAGTTAATTAATTTTGAGTCTTGTTTACAAGAGCTTTGCCAATGGCCGACAAACGTTTGTAGCGTAGTAGTGGTGACAGTCACAAAGTCGCCACTACTTGCGACTACCTGTGGCTTGCCTTTGTTTATTTGGAAAGGTTTAAACAGTTATTCTGGTTCTTTGTTAATTGACGATTTCTACAGGGTACAACATTGTACATCAATTTTCCAATATTTTCTGAATTGAATTGTATTTGTTTGAGAGTTTAAGTTGTAGATTTGTGGAACAGGCTACTGTACTAAGTAACTTGGACGTGGGGTGGATTTGTGTTGAAACCTTCAGTTTCTAGGTTAGACAAATGTGTGGGTGTGTACTATAAGTAGCACTCAGTCTCGCACAATTAAATAGGCCTTTTGCTGCCTCTATATTCTTAAATATGTTTTCATGGTGCATAGACATTACATAGCTCGAGACGAACACAGAAACGCGTACAGGCACGTGTACTTATAAACACAAAGGACATGCTTGGGAATAAGGATATCAGGATATTTTAGAGGGAATACAGATTTATTATAAACATAACATTCATACAATTTTACATAATTTAGAGTAATTCAATTGAGTATTATTATAGTGACTGTTGCTTATGTTCACTGCTTCACAGGTCAGGGTGATGGGTTTAGGGCGGTGTCCCATCACAATATTAATTTAATGACCCGTAAATTTCCGTGTCATATTAACTCGTTAAGTAGAAACTGGACCCAAGTTCTAACGTGGTAACGCATCATAGTACTGCTGTAATCTGATCTGATCTGCAGGCATTTTGCTTAAGCGTTACAAAGTTTATAAAGTTGAAGGTGACTTATTATGCTGACAAAAGGGGCTGATAGAATATTTTGCTGAAGTATATTACTATTCGTTAAACATGTGTGTTTGTATACTTAAATTTTGATGAGTTTAAAGTTATTGAAACGTGTATAATGTCAGTGTTAGCAGTTTTCATTGTTCAGCCTGTGTTAATTGCTCTCTTTTTGCAGCAGCGTGAGGATGAACAAGCACGACGAGTTATCAGACTTCTCCTCCCAGTCTATCCTGTGCGCCATGGACCGCTTTGTGAAAGCAGTCAACAACATGAACGAAACTGTCATGGTACCTTGCAGGTCAGTCTCCAACTTGTTTTTTTCCCTGATAATCTCTACTTGATAATCTGTCCCTTGCCTCTCAATACCTGGAGGTAAATATAATTTACCTCCCATGTTTTTGGTAAACTATCTTTAATGGGAATCTTGGCTCACTGGCTGGCAATTAAACGAAAAATATTGTCTTTACCAGATTTATTGCTTTTGTTTTTACTGTATCGATGTTCCACGCCTTTCCACGTTTTCCACATGTTGGTATTACCTTCTGTGTCACCTCTCCACGTGATTTTCTTGTACCTTTTAACCCCTTGTCTTCCTGTTGCTGAGAAGGCTTGATCTTGTGTAGGTCAACTGTTACTGTCATACTGTGTGCGCTTTTGTGTTTAAGGTTGAGTATATTGTAGGGTCGTTCCTTATTATTTATATAGATATAATTTGTTGGATACTTTATAACTAATTGCAACCTAGTATAAAATAATTTGATGATAAATAAAACCTGTTCTCTTTTAGTTTAATTTTATCGTTCATTTCCTTGACAGTAAAATTATCACTAGTTCCTTCCCAGGACTATTTGGAGACCCTTTAAGACTGTTGGTAAACAAAAACCTTCCCTAGTGCTTGGAGTACAAACACTGTACCTAATGCTCGAGGTGCTTCATTGACCCCATCACTGTGCTGGATAGAATGTGGTTTCTTACCCATGATTTGTTGGTTTCGTTCTCTTCTCTTGGCATATATAAATGTTTTCAAGTGCTTCATTGTTAGGTGTTCAGAGTGAATGTTTTTGGCCAAAATCTTGGGTAATCATCTGTTGGTTTAAAGTGGCTGAGGTAATGTGGTTGCAACACAAGGGTTAATCAATTCAGTTTTCATAACGACCGTGCCGTTTGGACACTTGTGCAATGTTTGATAGCAAGACTGATTTGTCAACTTACGGAATTATCAGATGTTTACCTGAACGTTATAAATTGCAAGTCTTGATATTCAACATTATTTTATTAACATTAGGAATGTTCAGGTTAATCATAGTATGACGATTCATAGCAATCAATAACTGGAGGAAAGTTGGTTCTAGCCATTATTCCTCAAATTGGCGTGTTTAAAGTTTTTTTTATTTAAGTTTAGTACTGATAGAGCAGTCTTTGTCCCTGCAGATTGCTGGATGTGGATGTTGATCCTGTGAAGGCATCACACAAGGTACCAACTATTCTGCGTGGGGGCGGCAACCCTTACAACTTCTACACTGTGCTCAACTCGGTCAAGAATGACCTTATCTGGGGTCCCACCTCTAATGACGATGACGACAACGAGAACGGCACAGTATCGACTCCAGTAACCAACACAGCAAGATGGTCCGACACATCCTCAGTCGTCCCTAGCACTGGTCACGTGAAAGGTCACATGCGACGACAGAGCACCCTCTCCATGATATCCATGTCCTCCAACACCTCAGATGGCGAGAGCGAAGGTGGGTGTGATGTGAGCGAGGGTGGAGACTCGGGCGTGGAGGGTGAGGAAGGTAGTGATGTTGCTACCAACGTGATGGACTCCCTCAGAACACACCTGATGGGCCTGCATTCGTGTCTCAACCACCTCACGGACATGGCCACCTACATCACAGATCGCTACCAGGAAGAGGTGAACGCGTAGAGGGCGTACACAAGTATGCTAGTCATCACCACATCAACGCTAGAGGACTTGGGGCGTTGCACCACGCGATTGTTGGACTGTCTCAGAGTAGGAGACATGACAATGTCTCACACGTCTTCTGGGTTGCCAATTAAATGCAGTGGTCAAAGCAACTGGGGAATTAAAGATATACCCTACCCTGGTTGTTGTGGCCCACAACTCCCACTGGAGGGGCAGGTCCCCTCGACTTGTCTGTGATAGTGCACGGGCGCCCCTCACTGTCTTCTTCCCCACACAGTGGCGCGCACCTACATTTCCATTGCTGTATCCTCATTTTATTTGCACAAATCCATATTCCCTTCACTTTCCCAACAACAAAATCAGCATAAAAGTCTAGTGTGTCTGAGATACTATACTTATTAGCTAATAATCGCTGTATTGTGCTAAATATTTTTCTTGCATAATTTATTAAATTCCATTCCTCCCACTCTGGACCAATTTTGTGTAGTGTGGAAGAGGGCTTTATATGTTTGGGTGGAGGAGGGAGGACAGCGTCATTGTGTAGTGTGTATGTGAGGGTTCAGACTGTGTACACCTTCATGACACACATGGCTGTGTACACACACACTCGTGCACGTTTCATGCATATTGTATGGGAAGTGATTATTATGGTAGTTTTAGTATAATTATTTTGTATTGATTAGTCATATATAAATAAAGTGTTTTGTATATGATGCCTTTCATAACCATTATTTTTGAGTGTTGAATATGTCTTGGCATGTCATGATAGATATTTACTAATGTTGTAATATATATTTCACCAAAATGAATTTAAACAATTTAGCAAAAAAATGTGCAATATGTAGACTAAATATTGTACCACTTAAAATTACGGCAGCAAGATTTGTTTTTGTCCTCTTAAGGACACATTCGGCAAGCTACTCGAATGGTCATGATTGTTCTTGCATTTATATAGTGATACTTAAGACCTTTTGAATATCAGGCGACTACTTAGTCTAACCCGGCTTGATTACCCTTTGAGAACTAATTTAATGGTCATCAACAGTGGGAAATGGCATACCAGGAGAAGCGAGTAATGTACAATACCTTCCTGTTTTTTGTTGCGCGCGCGAGTGAGCCAACAAAGTTTAGTAGCTGCCATACTGTCATACACCTCATTCAGGAGCCTCTTCTCTGACGACTCTCGCTATCGACAAGATAGCGAGAGGTACTTCAGTGGACCTTAAGTGGTAATGAGAGGATTTATCTTATTTACAATATCTAGCACTTCAGATTATAAGTATATACGAGCTCTTGTTACAGTTAGTACTTCCTCTTCCCCTTTATGTACAGTAATGTTAAAAATAGTGACTAAATGTTCTTGCTATTGGTAAATGTAGCTCTTTGCTTTCATTTGGGTGATTATAGTTTCATTAGTAGACAAGAGTTTGATATTCAAAGATAAGTGCATTTTCAGACAGGCATTAGTGTGGGAATAAACTGACACCCTCCAGCGAGGGGAGATATTGACTAGTAAAAATACTAGAAGACACTAGTGAAAATATTCCCAATTGGTGACGAGTTTTGGAGTTTTGTATCTGTGGCAAACTTAATATCACGAGTCCTTAAGTGTTACACAAGTTATCAGTTTGTGATTGGCCTGAGTGACCTGCACCAGGCAGAGGTGTGTGTGGGGGGCACCTTGGGGGGGGGGGGCGGTCTCCACCGTTTATTGGTGCTACGCGCTTCCCTGCAGTTCATGGGTTGCGTGGTAATTGCGCAAGTACGAGGATGATTTGCAATTCTCCTTTATGACGCTCTTGGGTGGTGTCCATAGATGAAAGAAACCTTTACTTCCTCGTCTACGCTATTATTGGCAGGCCTAATTTTCTCTCCAAGCGTCCCCCAGTCTGTACGTCATTATTTGCCTTATGGTTCATATCACTTAAAACTAATTAAAGCCCTTTTGTAGTCTCCCTATTACCCATTTTAATTGCATGATTTATGGTCACACATTTAATTACTTCAAATTTTACAATTACCGACTCATTTGAGTCTTCCTCCAGGGGTCCTTCTACAAAAATTGTCAGCAGTACATGTTGATCTAGCCACCCTGAGGGCCTTTGTCGTCCTTGCAGTCCAACCCAATAGTCTGGTTGTTCAAGATCGTGAAAAATGCTTGTTACGAGGAAACCAATGGTGGGGGGTTTCAAATAATAAAAATGCATTGTAAGTAATTGTATTAAGGAGGCGCTAAGCCAGTTTAACAATATAACACTTGTCTTAGAGAGAAAGTACAAGCTGCAAGATATTCAGGATGCCAATACTAGGGCACAACGACAAAATAAGCGGTGTCAAAGGATGCAAATTCCCGGAGGATTTTATTGAGGGACAGATGACTAAGGAACAGTGAAAAATCAAAATCTCCAATCACCTTGAGAATTAAGATAGCCAATGAGGTGAGCGATTGTTAGCAGAACGATGTAATTCTGAGTGTAAAGGGCACGTCTCTTGTTTTATTAACCGTCAATGGCGCTTAACCTTATGAGGCCAATTTGCAACTTAAAGAGAGTCGAGATCGAAGCCGACGAATACGCAGGAAGCCAGAGTCCAGTTTAGCCAGCAGTGGGGAGCAGCACCTGCGTGACCGCCCGCCACAAGGTACGTGACAAAACTAAGACAAGGTCCTCCCTGCGATCACTTCCCAGGTAACGGACTCGCGACCCCCAAGATAGGCGGGTGTCAAATATCAACTCTGAGTTTCACATCATCCTTATATGCGAGTTGACCGCCATTATGCGGTGACAGGAACCATACAAGTTTTCTCGCGTTGAAGGTCGCGAGGAAATATCATACCGAGGAGTACAAGTTGGGCGGCAGGATTGTCTCATTACCACACCAGCTGATGGAACATTTGACAAAGAATAAATCCACAAGGGCCGTGACGAGGATTCGAACCTGCATCAGAGAGCATCCCAGACGCTGCTTTAATCGACTGGCATGACGAACAAATGATTTGTTCATTTGATGCATCACGCAATTGTGATTTCTGTGTGATTTGACAAAGATGTCGCCACAGAGCAAACCTCTACCCCTAAGGAAACTCACTCATTTTCCCTGGTCTACACCGCTGTGTATAATTATTCTAAACATTCTACACAGGACTGCCGACGACACAATAACGTATCTGAAGGTATGATGAACTTAATAATGGTCCAGGAATGACCGAAACAACGTAATGCCTCCATTTTTCTGATGTGTAGTTTGGTCATCATGCACATCATTCGCTCTTATAAATTTAAAGAAAATGATGTTGGTCAGAAAAATAAATTAAAACTTGTTCTATATGTCGAACTGTTCACGGTGTGCCGAGAATTTATCCCCTACTTTATATCAAGTGATCTGTTGCTGTTTGCATTGTCTTGTAATGACAAGCCGACCACAATAATAGTCTGAGTGCTGATGTGCATAATCGTGGGGGTCGGAAAGTGGGAAGTTCAGCTTGTGGTGAAAGAATGAGAGGAGCGAAACCTCGTGGTCCATCGGCTGCACAACTTGTCGCATATATTTATGGTTATATAAACGCATATTTAATAAAGCCACAAGTACGATTGATGTAGATTAAGCCACCCAAGAGGTGGCACGGGCATGAATAGCCCGAAACCCCAAGTACCTCCTAGTGTTCATTATAATGCTAGATCATGAATAGATTATTCTCTAGAAGAGAACGCAGTGTGCCTATTTACCGCTGTACCGTGCATAACTGAGGTGTGGTGATACGTATTTCAACACAAAACAGAATAAGTATGCGATGCGTGTTGACAAGACAGACGTAACTAGACCTTAAGATACGCCACATGAATCAACACGTATCTCTTCATAGCGTTAACACATACAATAAAAACATGTCGTCAAGCCAAAACTTCTTTTGGACTGAGTTTAAAGAAATTTTAAACAAACTTTTAACAAAAAAAGGCAAAGTTCCACCATAACAAACAATGGGAAATTACAAATATTTTCATTTTGTAAGAATTCTCACTCGTATGTAGAGATTACAGATGTGTGAACCCACACCTGTTTCAGGAACGTATAAAGTAATGCTAGCATGGCAATGTTGACCGCATGGCACTGTTGACCTCACGGCACTGTTGACCTCACGGCACTGTTGACCGCATGGCACTGTTGACTGCATGGCACTGATGACCTCATGGCACTGTTGACCGCATGGCACTGTTGACTGCATGGAACTGATGACCTCATGGCACTGTTGACCGCATGGCACTGTTGACCACACGGCACTGTTGACCTCATGGCACTATTGGCCGGATGGCACTGTTGACCTCACGGCACTCGTGTATGCCCTCCTTTCACTTTCTCTTCCTTTATCTTTCTCTCTTTTTTCTCTTTTTTCTGTTCTCTTTCAAGCTTGCTGGGTGTGGCAGGGGCCGAGCTCTGGCGAGTGCTGGCAGTGTTGTTGAGGTCATGGCAAGGTCACTACTGAGACAACTTTTCCGGTGAGGAATTATGTAACTGGTGTGTGTGTATTTGTGGGTGTGCTCGTACATTCATGGCACACACAGAGATCACACTAACGTGATGCATCAAATGAACAAATCCACAAGGGCCGTGACGAGGATTCGAACCGGACGAATTCGAATCTCCCGTGCTCCCGGACGCAGGTTCGAATCTTCGTCACGGCCCTTGTAGGATTTGTTCACGTATATTCATGGTTTTCTCTCCATTTATTAAGCAGTTGGTGAGCTCTTAACCACTAAGAGTTGTTGATAACAATAATACAATTAGACTGTGAAATTTCGTAGCCTCATAAACTGTTTAATAAACGTAAACAAAGCCACCATGATTGTTGGAAAGATGTAGAGGTTTCGTAAGTGTATGTGTGTGAATGCTTGATGAATCCTTGCTATTGAGCCGGATTATCCTGGATGCTATGAAATGAAAATACGACTGATATGTTGTGATATTATATATATTTTAATTGCTATAACCTTTTCCTAAATGATTCGCCTCTGCGTCCGCTCTGAGGCTTCTTCACCTCACGAAGCGGAAGTCTGGAATAATTCAAATTAAAAAACTACATTCATAAATGAATGCAAATGTTAATAGTTGTTTACAAAATAAACATTCAACCATTATACAGGGAATATATACACGTAAGCCGCGACTCGTATGTTCCTAATGCAACTAGAGATTTTTTTTGTTTGCGGGGAAAATTCCTGCGCGGGCCTTAAGCCTTTGACTGACCCACAAAGTGTTGCTTGTTTCTGTTTTACTTGGGCGGAGTATGAGTATTTATGACTCGTATGGTCGCTTCAGTAAGATTTTGCCCCATGTGTTTAACAACTTCTTCTGCTCTGAGATGGTAGTGGTAGGTGGTGGTGGGTGGTGGTGGTTGGTGATGGTGGCTGGTGATGGTGGGTGGTGGTGGATGGTGGTTGTGGTGGTGGTGGGAGTAGGGGTGGTGTCGGCGAGAGGGCAGCAGGTCTAGAACGACTGAGTTGCGTAATATGCACCTTAGCTCCACCCATGTAAGAGCTGGCCAGCCAGAGGCTTGAGGCCCGAGCAAGAAGCAAACCTATAAAAAAAATCCTAACCCAAAAAATACAGTTCAAGCCACGAACAAAGTGCTGGAAAATCCCAAAGACACACGTATTGGTTATCCACTTTTTTGTCTGTGTTCTGAGGGGTTGCAATCTAGAATTTCTGGTTCAAA